CTTTAAAGAGTAGTAAGGGACATCAAAATAAGCATTTTTGATTATATAAACTAAACATATGTCCGCAAATGAGCCATTTGGGCTGTAGAACAAAAAAACTGTTTGATACTTTTATTCTTTGCAATAATTAAATCACTGTTTACTTATTAATTTTGCTTTATTAACAAATAAATTATGGTTTACAATAATTGTTCAAAATGTTGACCATTTACTTCAATGTAAAGATTGCACTGTCGCAGTGGCGTAGCCAGTAGGGGGGCAAGGGGGGCGACGGCCCCCCCCCCGCCCCCACACGTGTCGCGCCCCTACCGCTCTTGAAAAACAAAAGCAAAAAATAAGAAATTATAAAATGATGCTGTTTCTTATTTATTTTATGTCATACCAATACATTATTGTGTTTGCGTGCGGGCATAAAGTACACATTATGACCCGCGCGGGCATAAAGTACACATTATGGCCCGCGCGGGCATAAAGACGCAAAAAAAAGTTTTCAATTAACTTATTCTTTATTAACAAAATATAAATTTACGCTTATAAACATATTATTTTTGTCAATGTTGTCAATGTTGATTTTGAACACTGATGACAATTTGCAAAGTGACACTTTTTTCCCAGGTATTTATTATTCACAACCAACTGGTATGACATAAAAATTTGTATGCACCACGGGTACTAATAGATATATATACCCTCGGGCAACTTACGAACCCTCGGGCCAGAGGCCCTCGGTTTGTAAGACTCTCGCCCTCAGGGTATAATCATCTACTTAGTACCCTTGATACATAAATAACTATTATTGACCTCTTCACTCTTTATTAATTCTTGATCGTAAGTCGGCATTGTCGGCAAAGGAAAGTTTCTGTTTTGATGATTGATGTGGTATTTGTTTATTGGGTTGGGTGAGGCTGTCATCCGTCCGGATTTCCCCGGATGTGTTCCCCAGTTTTCAAGGCGTCCCCGCAAACGTTCGGGAGGATTTTTTGAAGTTAACAGCATGTCCACACATTATTTTTCGTAAGGCTTAAAATACATAAATGTTTTTCGGCCTGGAACCCAAAAAAAAAAAACTTTTTTGGGCGTGGCACTCGAGAAAATGTTTCGCCTTCGGCAGCGCGTCTTTGATATCTTCCCCCAATAAGCAAATATTACGAAAGCAGACAATTACGAACATTTATTTGTTATCCTCCACCACCCACCCCCCAAAAAAATTATGCGCCCCTTATATGTTTGCCCCATCCGCCCCGCAAGGCTGGCTACGCCACTGCACTGTCGGGTCATTAATAGACAACTAAGTTGATTACGGCAACTAATGACAAATAATAAATTTCACGATGATCCCAAGGTAGGAATTTTCGAAATGTTTTTGATAAAGAAATGTTTTTGCATCTGAAAAATTAACAAAATTGCGACCGATTAAGAAATTCAATTCAATTCAATTCAATAAAGCTTCCTAATTCTTAACAAAATCACTGACAAAGCAAAAGGTACAAAGTAAGTCCTAAAAACTATACATAAAAGGCAGGTAATAAAATTTCATAATAAGTTCCCTCTAAAATAACAATAACAATTTAGGTAAGTGTTTCAAGCAGCGTGACACTAGTCATGAAAGAAGCCTTCAGCAAAATTGTTTACTACGTATATCATAAATACCACTGAAAATGGTTAAAAGATTAAAATAACAAACAACAAATTCAAAATGGGAAATCACACAAGCAAATAAAAAAATAATAATAAAACACAATAAAATAAAATAAAATAAATAAAAACTTTAAAATATAGTAACATAATCCGTCTTATAAAACTCTAAGATAATATAATAGCTACAAATAAATTTTGGAATCATAAACAAAACGCTGTCATTTATAAAACTCTCCCAGGCTCTAATAAGCTTTTTCAATTAGGAATGCTTTAAGTTTTTTTCGAAAGAGTTTGTACTGTTCAAAAATAAACAAAAGTGCGACCACAAATGTTTAGCATATCATGCTGGTGGCCAACTAAATAAAAATCGAGTATAAAAGTCTTTAATTATTTGGGTATGATTTTAATAGTTTTTTTGCTCTACAGCCCAAACGGCTCATTTGCGGATACATTTTTATATAAAAAAAAATACTTGTTCTGATGTCCCTTACTACCCCTTAAAGTTTGTCGGTATCTTTTTGGGACACCCTATATATGCATGTTTATGCACCTCAAGACTAGTCCATTATGGGCCATAGAAATAGTTTCTGAGAAAGCATTCTCTTTTATAGTGCAATAGGTACGTCAAATATGTGACAATTTGGCAATAGCCTCATCGGTTTCTACCGCCTGGTATATTGGACAAAATAATAATAATAATGATTTAATGTTTTACTGTTAATAATTTATATGTATTTTTTTTTACTACTAACCTGAGAAATTGTCATTATTCAATCTATTTTTCTAGGAAAAAATTGAATTTCTCTCCCTAGGTGAATAATGAAAATAATGAAAAAATACCTAGGTTAATAATGAAAATGACGTCATGACGCAAGAATATTGTCATGTTTCTATTGGTTCAATTTCATTTCCATACGTCAATTTGAAAAAAAATACAGGTTTCTGTAGGTACATAGGAAGTTATCATAAGCTGTTGATAGAGGGCAGCACTTTCAAGAGGGCGTTCAAAAAAAATAATTGGAGCACAGATTTTAAACAAATTTTTCATTTTCTACTAGCAGTAGTAAAAAAAATTCTATATATTCCTCGGTAGAGAAAGTCATTATATACCTCACTCATTATAAACCTCGGCGCGAGCGCCTCGGTTTATAAAAGCGCTCGGTATATAAGGACCAACTTCTCTACCTAGGTATATAATATACTATTATCCTGTTACTACGCCAAGTATTACTGGCCTATGTTTATTTAGTTGTAAGGTACTTAATGTTTCTTGTTGTTTTTTTTTTCTTTTGAAACTTTTAATGGGTCTTGCCCGTAAATAAATAAATAAATAAATAAATAAATAAATAAAATTAACCTATTAATATTAATTAAATAATTAACTAATTAATTCATGAATTTTTTAACGTGAGCAGCTGTCAAAAGTGTCAAATACACGGCTAATATTTTCGCTTTAGATTCGTGTACTTCTTCATGTATAAATACATAAATAATAATAAATAAATAGAAATACCCAAAAAATATACAGATGCGGGCTTTACCTCATCAATTAAGCCCCTATATCGATCATTTGTTAACACATTCAAACGTGTTGTGGATTCAGCTTTTCTTTCCAAAATTTTTTGAATAAAAGTTTCGTTTCCACTTAAACTGTGTCATATTTTTTGGTTTTGAAACAACTCGAGGTGTGGCGGTACGATTAAGAAGCTTGAGGGGTCAACCACCCATCAAAATTTGTAAACCTATTACCATTTTCGTCATATATTACCATTACTGGTTATGGTCATTACCATCTATTATAAGTTATGACATAATTATTACATTTTACTTCCAATTATTATGTTTTATCACCATCTATTACAAGTTATTACGAATAATAATTATTACATGAAATAAAACTTTATTTGTTTATTATTATTACGTCTTATTGTGTATCTAAATGTGTACACCTATTACCACATGTGGTTGACCCCTCGAAGAAGCTAGTATAACAAGCACCCATAATCTGATCGTCGAAACTTCTAGATGCAAATTCTTTCAATAAGATAATTTTTATCGGATATTTCCTAATACTCAGGCCATTCTAGTTTATCCAGTACTAGTACGTCCTAGGAAATATGCGAAGTTCCTAACAACGCTAGGAACTTTTGGTACATCCTAGGCCAAACTAGAATGGCCTGAAATCAGATATTTCCTCTAACATATACATTAAACATGCAACTAATTGTCTATAGTAACCTAATATGTATAATGTGTAGGTGTATAGTTTAGTTTATTTAGTGAGTAACCAGTTGGTAACATAAATATCGAGATTCAAATACCTACATATTTGTTTCATCTGTATTTTAGTTTATGAAAATGTGTGCAATTTTTTTATGGAAAAAAAATATTCCCATCTAGTACACTAGAACAGGGTTACAATAAAATCAAGGGCGACCGGCACTGCAAATCATCAGAATGTTCCACCCTCTGACTCTCCGACTGAATATTTCAATTCAATCAATTGAGTTGGATTATTTTAAGGCTAATAAACCGTTCCTGCTTTAGAAATGTTTTTCATGGTATTATACCCATTTCTACCTTTGACACAAGTCCATTATTAAAAGAGGCTAATTTTTTTGCCGTTGCCAAGTCTACAGAGAGCCTCTCACAGCAATTCCAGATTTCAAAAACGGAAATCACATATGACAAAAGTTTAAGACAAGATACTGGATAAGAAGACCGACCATAAGAGGTTTGGCTCATATAAAAAATGTGACGAGGAACCTGATCCTGATAGCAGCTCTCAGAGAGAGAAAATCAAATTTTGGAGGTTGATTTCAACATTTTTGTGGTTCTGGATTTCTGTTTTATAGCTAAAAGTTTCTACAAGTTTCTCGCTCATAAAAGTGTGAGAGAAGCCTCTTATAAGTACCTATGAGTTGAACCAAATCCAAGCGGCAGTAAATGACAAACTGGTTATTTTCATTATTATCATCTAGAAAATGCCATCCTCAAAAAATCTGTGTACTTAAATGGAATAATAAATTTGTAAACTATTTCAAGAGGTTCTATAGTATAAATCATTTTACATTTTTTTTTACCAAGGTTTGAAGGTTATCAATGATTTTATCAACCCTATCCCAGAGAGAAGATAATGATAACTTATCATTATCTTCTCTCTGGGATAGGGTTGATAAAATAAAAAAGGAAAAATTACTTGGCTGGCTCTTTGCCCCAATAGCCGGTATATACTATACTTTGCAGGGTTAGATAGCAGCTAAGCTATACTATATAGCTACACTACATTGCTTACCTAATACCTATCAGTTCTTGAACGAAAAACACAGGAAACTAACAAGTTGTGCTTAAAATATTTCCTTTTATGACACGAGTTTTTCTAGCGATGACGGTACAACTACGACAGATGCCGGTATGTTTTGTTTCAAGCGATCTATCGTCTGTTCAACCTTTATTTGAACATGATGTGGTATGTATGTGTGGGACTCGAAGCTTGGACTTTGGACACTGCCTTCAACCTGAGGACCTTGAATTGAAAGTAGTAAAATAAGATAGACTGAGAGAAAACGTACATACCTATAATATATATACTGGAGAGGTGAGTGAAGAAATACCTACCGAATATGAGGGAATGCGGGACGGAACGCATGAAACACAGGTGGCGCACAGATTTTGATTTATTACCAGAGAATTCTGTGCAGAGAATTTCATACATCTGTCAAAACTAGGGATGGCAAAATTAAAAAATATATCGATATATCGAATCATGATATATCGAAATAACATATCGATACATTCGATATATTGAAGGGAAAACATCGATATTTTGAATATATCGATATATATTTTATTTTTTCATTTTTTTCTATGATTGTGCGAAAAGTGCTTTTTTTCTGCACGCATTTCAGGCCATGAAAATATCACTTCTCCGCACTAGTGTGGAAAAGTAAAATAATAATGCAATGTTAGGTCACCCTGATAGTTTTATGTAATGCGTGCGGAAAAGTACTTTTCCGCACGATCGTAGTAAAATAACGTTACTTATGGCGGGTATTATAAAACTATTCTGACAGAATAACTAAAAGTTAACTTCTGGAATGTCGTTGCTTCTCATGTAATTCCAGAAGTTAACTTTCATTTAACTATCAAAGTAGTTTCATAATACCCAATCATGCGAAAAGTCTCTTATCCTCATTCAATTGGTACGTACACGCCCTAATTGACGTTTGTTTAGGCAATTCAAACCACGCGACATTCAAGATGGCGCGGCAGCCACACATGGGCCTAAAAACACAAAAAAATATCTAGTTTCTGCCCGAATTAATAGTTTAGGTACCTAGTCAACAAATATTTTATTAAATAATGAAAATCAAAGTTGTAAGCAAAACTGTATGCAAAATAATTTAAAATACGCATAAAAACATATTCAAAACAAACTTGCTTGGCCGCCACGCCGCATTGAATTTTCCTTTTTGACAGATGGATTGAATTGCCTAATTTTAGCCGCCACTGTCAACTGTTAAGGCGGTTACACACGGGCGTGGATGTCTGAAAACATGTACGCACATACATGAACGTGCAAACAAAAACATCAATGTGTATACAAAATATCGTCGCGTTTTTGAATGTGCAATTTTGTATGCACACTCGGAACACTGTAGCAAGAATAGCAAGACTGCAGTTTTGTACGAGCGTGTGTACAAAAGCGCCATGCACGTTATGGTTGCACGTTGATGTATGCACGTATATGTATTAGGACATCCACGTCCTTGTGTAACCGCCCTTTGACTGTCACAGTCAACAAATGAACTATGCGCACGAGCGAAGGCATTCTTTTAAATTTCCGATATATCGAAAAGATTATATCGATATTTTTTTCGATATATCGAATGTAAGATATTGATATAGTCTAAGGGCCGAATTTATAGTCGCTCCTCGAGGTTTCCTTGGACCTTAAGGAAGCCTTGTACGTTTAGAATTGACATGACTAACTTGTCAAATAGTACCAAGTGTCCATTCTGAACTCACGACCTTTAAGGCAGACTCAAGGAATGACTATAAATTCGGCCATAAGATATTGATTAAAATATATCGATATATTTGAGTGATATATCGATATTTACAAAATATCGATATATTTTTGCCATCCCTAGTCAAAACTGGTATTCTTCTTCTTCTTCTTTCCTGGGGTTCTTGGCTTCTGCTCCCAATAGTGCAATTTGCCAGCACATTTGATTGTGTTCAGAAAGCCGTCTGGCTCAGGGCCATGTTCCAAACACAGATTCGTTTCAATCTCTTCTATCTTCAATTTTTCTTTATGTGAAAGGCACATTCAGGATTTGCCTAGATCAATCGCTGAAACCGGATATAACCTTTTTCTGTCAAAACAAACAGCGTTTTCACAAGTCTCAGACTCTGGCCGCCATTTTGCCAACGTTACCACGCGTGAACCTTCTGTTTATCTAGGAATCTAAGCCGGCTTAGTCAAAAAGACGCAAACAAATCCACGGATGGCGATGAATCTCGGTTTTTACTCGCGGAGGTGAGCCAAAATTTGGTCTCTACACGCCTCTAGTGCACCACCCGGTGAAGCTCTTTGAGCTCCTTAAACCAACCGCCCACACTCTGGCGAGGACAAAACGAGACTGAAAACTGGTATTCCAACAATAAATTGACATGTTTTGATTGTTGATTTAAACTTTGAACCAATCAGATTGTAATTACGCGATAATTTGCACTAGTGCAAATTATCAGATAATTGCATACTATGCTGGTGCGAAAACTGGTGTTTTGACATTCAGATTGTAATTACGCGATAATTTGCACTAGTGCAAATTATCAGATAATTGCATACTATGCTGGTGCGAAAACTGGTGTTTTGACATTTTTTGACAAAAAATTTAAATTTTTGATTTATGAAATTCTCTCATTAAATACAACTCGTGCAATGGAAATATATTTATAATTTTCGACAAATTTGCACTCATGCGTTTTCAACTGAAAAAGGCACTCGTGCACTACGTGCACTCGTGCTCTGCATTCGGGCAAATTTCCCAAAAATTATCAATAATTTCCATTGCACTAGTTATATTACTATTGATAATTTATTTATTTTTGTTTACATCTTAACCTCATTTAGGTTATATCAATATGGCTGCACTGGTCAAACAATGTAATTTCTATCGCTTGACAAGGCTAATAACACAGCATTACGCTGGAACTGGAAACTGGACCTGGTCTTTTGGAATAGGTATGGCCTGCCTGTTCCGTGAACCTATTACCAAATATTAGATTTACCTGTTCCGAGTTCACAGAGCAGACGCTGGCACGTCACGTGTTTTCCCTAAACCAAAGCTGTTTTCTCGCGTTCACTTTTTTGAAACAGGTTTGAAATAATATATTCTCGCGATGAACTCATGACATCACATCGAAATTGGTTCAAACCGTTTCGAAATACCAATCCAATCCACGTTCTAAGCCCATTTTCTTGCGCCGCGAAATTATGACGTCATTGTGAAACTGTTTTAAACAAGTTTTGAAAAATGTTTCAAAATTTTGAGACGCCAGAAAACACCTCTAGTATATTAATTCAATGAAATAGTAGAATCTACTACACTGGATTGCCACTTGCCAGCATTCGAATCATCAATCGGTATTCGATTTAACAAAAGACACGTTTATTAACGTTTTAACCTCTAATAATAGCACTAGCCACCTGTCGTTGACCATGTGAATCACTCAGTTTGACAGGAAATACTTTGGATCTGGAACAGGTACTTGGAATAGGTTTGTGTTGGGAGCAGGTACAGGTCATACTAGGTACAAGAAATAGTATATTACATACCGAGGTGGAAAGTGTTTCATTACTGTCGAGAGATTTAAGTTAGACCGAGGCGCAGCCGAGGTCTAACTGAAATCTCGAGACAGTAATGAAACTTTTCACCGAGGTATGTATACTATTTTATTTACAATCATTCGAATTTTGAAATTTTCATTTGGATTAAAACTCAAAAATACAATAATTAACAATTTCATTTACTTTCGGCCCACGGGTCGAAAGTTTACTTTCGACCCGTGGGCCGAAAGTAAGAGTCAAAAAATACAATAAATTTTAAAAATTTCATTTACTTTCGGCCCACGGGTCGAAAGTAAACTTTCGACTCGTGGGCCGAAAGTAAAAGTCAAAAAAGTGACATTTTCGAACTTTTTAAAAGTCAGTAAAGTCAACATTACATGTATGATTGTAAATAAAAGCTATTCCGTAACATCTCTAAGGGAGGGTAATATAAAACTTCTTTGAGAGTTAACCTGAAGTTAACTTCTGGAATTACATGTACCATCGTCACCAAAAGTAACTGGGACAGCATCACATTAGCTCTTGTCCTATTATATAAATTTTATTGTCAAATATTTGTCAAACTGTGAATTAAATGCATTGAAATGAATGACAGTAGAATTAGTCCAGGAGATTATTATGCATTATTTGTGTCCCAGATACTTTTGGTGACGATGGTAATTCAAAAAGTTAACTTTAAGTTAACTGTCAGAGCAGTTTTATAATAACCACCCTAAGCCGAACTCAGTTACAAAAACAATCAGCTAACTCTCACGCGCATCTTTACTGCGCACGCCGCCATTATGGGATACCATCCTGTCATTAAACGGCAGGGACGCCAAAATTTTATTTTATTTGTTTATTTCTGACAGAGGTCATAGGCATGCGGTGTAGAGCGGAATTTTAGTTATGATTTTCAAAGTGATTTTAGTATATTCGTGTTGCCATTTATGGTGTTATCTGTTATCATTGTTGTATATTTAATAATAATAATAAATTACTAATTATAAATATTATTATATTATGTAAGTAATAATAAATTAGTTTATTTAAAGCGAATACGACTCTGTGACACGGAAGAAAAAAACCTAAATTATTGTTAATCAGGCCCTGTCTCGTATCCCAAAATGGCCGCTAGTGACATCCCGACCATGAATTAGGCAATCCAAACCACGTGACTTATTTTGACGGATTGTTGGCACACGAAAGATTTTCTTGGTTTAATACTGTCCTTGCGTTCGGTATTTTGCTCAAAGAGCAGAGCGTGCTGAGCGGAGCCGTAATCACGTGACCAGCGAGCGAACAGGGGTGCGATTTTCGAAACCATTCGAGTACATTTCGTACACGAAATTTGACTGCTCCCCATTTAATTTACATTGCTGTCAGTCAAATTTCGTGTACGAAATGTACTCGAATGGTTTCGAAAATCGCACCCCACAGAGCAGTTGAACGCAGTATTCGAGTGCCCGAAATTTTAATAAACGAACGTAAATGAGCTTGCTCCGAGTACACTTTTTGAATAAACGAATGGTAAATTCAAGCTCGGAGAACGCTGATCAAAATACCGAATGCACCGTGTGTCATTTTCTGTGTTGACTGCGTATTTTGCTGCTTATTGCTTAATTTTGTGAGTTTTGAGATCTAAAAAAACACACACTCACAATTAATTTAGAAATATTTTGAAAGGAAATTTGTAAAAAGCTGGAATTAATTATTCTAAAATTTCTAACGTCAAAGGTGATCACAAGTGACGATGACTGATGACACAAGAAATTTAGGGTTATGGGCACATGTGTGCCAACCAATGAACTATAGCCAAAAACTGGAATGCGAACACATTAGGCATTCCAGGTCACGTGACTTTTGACAGGTCCGCTGGGGGGCAAACAAAGCCTAGATCAGTATTTACACCGTTCTTTGAGATTGTGTTTCCGAATTTTTGCGTTCTTAAATTCTCTCAATAAGTTTTAAGTTGTTTTTGTGGTAGAATGGCTAACATTGACTATTATTCATC